CCTTAGGTTTGCCACCCTTGAGAATCTTTAAACACTAATTTAGCTCCTTCCCAAGTCTGGATATTTTCAAAAAAATGATTAGTGATTACCTTTAGCTGTCAACACTTCGTTACCTGAACTGGTAGGGGAGCTACTGTCATGTCCTCATACGAGATTTATGTGTCACATGAGCCTAAGGAGACAATACATGAGTGAGCGTTTGCGTATGTATGGATCTCACCGCATACATTAAGTACTTCTACATCCGATGATGTTCTGTATGTTCGTATTCCATTTCCAGTTTATACCATCGTAATGCGGCAGCGCATTTGAATCGGTAGACGCTTGAACTGATGAGATACATATCTTACGAGCCTTGTAAAGCATCTGGGTTGTGCACTGTTCAAGTGAGAAGCAGATATAATGCAATGCTGTCATCTTTTCACTGCATAGAGGAGAGCGAGATCAACAGCTTCGCAAGCAATGTCCGGTATTCAACATCGATAACGAAAGGTTACACTCTTCCACATCAGTAAAGTACTTAGGTGTCACGTTGAACTACGATTTACTTCGATCAGACTGTATAAAGGAAATAATCACTGCGAGTTTACTCTGTCCCCCATAATTTTATACTTCGCTTTGTCACTGCCTTTGTTCTCCCACACTACACGTAATGCACACACCAGTGAATTTTCCTGGTTTATTGGGCAAGGAGTTTAGCTTAATCCCCAGGTCGTTGAAACAACTTTCGCGATGTGGCGGTGTATCAAACCTGACGTTTGTCGATATACTTTTATCCACTCATGTTGAGGCTTGTAAGAGACTAACATCTAGAGTACTTGGTGAAACAAATCACCCCTTCATTGTGTATTATCGGAAGGTGTCAATCGCTTCAACAAGACAGAAGTACAAATCCATATATGCTTCTTATAGTTCAACTGGCAGTACGGAAAGCGACACAGCCACTTGAGTCAGGATTCAGCCACTTCCACAAATCGGAAGACAAAGGCCTGTGATAGAAATTTGTATGGAGTACCCGGAAGACAGTAAATATAGCCAAATGATGGGGGAAAAATAAAGAGTTCATGAGAGAATGACCTAAGCGAAAGTTTCCGTGCTTTAGCAACTACCATATGTTTTCTCAGCCAATTGGATCCATAGCAAATGTGCGAAGAACATTCTTTTCGATAATTTCATTGGGCGTATAAAATTACGAAACAAAATGCTGGAGGGAATAAAGCTCGTAGAGGCTTGTCTAGCTTGGGCAAAAGGCTATAAAGAAACCAACCAGGTGGACTTGGTGTTCAGTGAGAACCAAGCGTTGTAAAACGGAACTGTTGATGGACTTTGCCGTATTTTTTCGTAGTGACGCCGGACAGCGTACATTGTTACAAGCTCTGAAATTACCTTGACCATGAACTATCGCTGTCGTTTCATCTTAGACCTCAAAAATGACATATTACCAGCATGGAGCACGTGCTTCCTCATGCGACAGTCTCATTGATCAAACTACTGATTCAGTTTTCGTAATGTCTGGTTCATGAGTTGGTTGTTTTCTCTATAGTCTTTCACCTAAGCTAGACAAGCCCCTAGGAGTTTTAATCCCTCTAAAATTTTGCTTCATAATTGTATACGCCCGATGAAAATTATCATAAAGAATATTCTTCTCGCATTTGCTCACTTCTCAATCCATAGTGCTATGAAATTCCTCCTTAAGAAAACGATGTTCCGCAATAGATCTTTCAAGATAATTCATAACGTTTTCAAGTTGAATCCAACGGGCGAAAACACTCCTATAAATTACGTGCTGTTTGTTGAGTAACCAATAACCAATAAACATATACTATAACATCTGAGCACACAGAGTAGAATGATATTGTCTGATTTAGATTTGGTCTCTCAATTCATTGTAGCATTTAGGGGCGCTTGGGCCCGCTGAAGCGCTTTGAAAGACCTATGGAACATGATTTCCACAAGGAGGAATTTGAAAGCGCTATGGATTAAATTAGCTGAGAATAGGTGCAGATCCGCAGAAGCTCGCTTGCTGGATTTTTAAGTAATGCGTTTACTGGAGGGCTTCAGGATAAGTTTTTCTCATTGGTCTACTTCAAGGTAAAAGGATGTCAATAACTTATTCTCATTGGTTAGCCAATAAGCCTCAGGCGACGTACGATCCATCTTCTCCGGGTTGCTTTGGACAGAGATTCAAGGCCTGCTATACAGACTCCAGTACACGAGCATACCGTTCGTCACTTATCGCTTAACTAGCGCAATTTTCGCAAGGCTAAGTCCAAGAATTAACAAATTGGTTTGTGCTATGATGATAATGTTTTTCCAATTATCGATCTACTTTTCGTATTGTATTCACATCATGGTGTGTCGATGAAAGCATGTGTGTGACAGTCGATTATGCACCCGTTCCGGGTGCATAAAGTCAGTCAACATGTCGGTCAGCATGTGTTGAAAAGGCACGGAGCTAATCCAAGTCTCTCCTTTTGATATCATGAACACCCATTCCGCGAGTACCATGTAGGCCCCATTAGCGGATTATGCCAGATTGTGCAATTTGCCTACATGTTACTGCGCTAAATCCTGTCTGCCGTCTGGGACAACTAGTCGGTTTTCGATGGAGCAGAAATTCAAAGTGCCATACGCCCCTCTCATCTACGGTGCTGTCATGTTGAACCAAGCGATTGTGCTGAAAACAACACAATTTATTCACCTACGGTACCCAGTTTATCGATCCGTGTGGATTATTTTGACGTTTCGGTTCGACGTGTTTCTTGGTTCAATTCATTTGCCCACCCTGTGACCGCGATCCAGCCTCCAGACAGCCAACGTCTTGTCACTAGTCAAACGGATAAATTGTACTGTTTGCTACAGAAGGCTTTTCCGTGCACAATTTTGAGACATCATGCGTTCATTTAAATGTTTCATCGTTTTGTTGAATTTCTCTATCGGATAGTGGTAAACCGTGTTCGACTGACGATTAATGTGTTCCACTCGCGGAATATGTCACACTGGGCACCTAGTAATTGGCTTGAAAAAATCCGCTGTTTTCGGACGGTTAACAATCAGTCCTATTCGTACTGTTCTTCTCGTGCATAATGAAAGGCATAACTATGTGCCCCTGAAGAACTCATTTCTCTAGTTTCTCTCTCGACATGGCTTCGCCATCATCACTCGATCACCTCATCACTTTGTATCGGTGACTTATGGAAACGCAACTATGCAGAGTTAAAGTGTTCTTGGTTTTTCTCAGATTGGTCTGATTGTTGGTTTGCACACATCGTTTAAGCCAATTGTAGTTAATTGCGATAACATTTTCGTGTGTGTGACATTTCCGTAAAATATACTTTCTGACCTCGTGAACTTATTTCGGATCAGGTTGTAAACACATTATTTCATATGCTCATTAATTTAAGATTTATGTCACCATTTCCTTATGCATTACTCGATTTATTTTATTTGTTATCTTTCTCTCAAGTGATTGACTGCTGTTTGATATCCCCAGTGTTGCTGCGCTTGATGTGCATGTTGACAAGGTGCCTACCTGTCTATTATCCACTACCTCGTTCATACTGGCTCCAGGAGACTGTTGGTCGGTGCTGCAGAGGACGGGGTGCACGGTCCTTGTGGCCGTTTTAGGATCAAAGAGTGGTTCCATGCAGTCAGTGTGGAGCGGACTATGGTCCAGCCACCGCCTTGTGTGCGCTTGATTCCCAAATACAGCATGCTTGTGTTTGCCTGTGAAGGAGTGTGCGCCGGCTCCGTTGATGAAACGTGGCTCCCATCCACATGCCTCCCGGTCTTATTCCTTCGGGTTTACACTGGATATGGGTTGTGTGGTTGGAGCTGTGGGTGTTGCAGCGCAAGCCACCCATGGTGCCTCTGAAAGCGCAGGCATTCTGTGGCTCGCTACAGTGACAGACAAATCAGAAAGCGGATGCTGCCAACCATGTTTGGTCGCACCCTTCACTGAATAAATATTACTGCGAGTTATTGTTAAATGCACTGATGAGACAATACGAAATGCATGCATTTGCCAGTCTTCGTCATCTTACTGCGCTTTTGAAATTACTAAAGGGAAATAACTGTTTAAAAATTTTCTCAGATTGTTTAAAACCTGTTTCATACTAGAGTTCGGGATAGAAATTAACACCGCATTATTTACGTTTTTCTCGTAAAATTGAACTAGTCATAGGAAGCTGCATAACTTTTCCATATCCTCTATACGCTTTGGCCTCACCGATGGCTTCAAGCTGCACCAATGTGAAGTCCACCCGAATAGTTTGTGAACGACCGGTTAATGTGCTTTATGGGTGTACGAAGCTTTTGTGTCAAAAGCGAAACGTCGTGTGTCTAACAATTATACTAACCGGTCGTTCAACACGACTAACTGATGGAAAATGTCGTCCATACTTAGGATCGTAGTGGTGGGGGTTTTGATAGTCCAGTTCGATTTCGGATTCATCTATCGGCACTCATCCAGATGATGATGGTCGGCAGGTGGCCGAGTGGTCTGCACGTTTGCTTTGCAACCAAAAGGTCACCGGTTCGAATCCGCGTAGGGGTGGGCGTCCTCGCGATATATTCAGCCAGCGCGCGCCTGCTGGTCGTCGCGCGGCAGCGAAGCGCCGTACAGCTGACACATTAGTATTATTATTACTCATCAAGATGGGCAAAGTAAAGTTAGAGGCCAAGCAACAGACAGCCATACTCCAACCATTTTATTCACGCAATTCTTAGCTTTGTAGATTTTCATAACCACAGCGATTAGCGTTTGCAAGGATGATTAACCAATTCATTAAACACATAAGCCAGAGTTCGAAAACACCTAAGGAATAAACGGCAAAATTAGTTTGCATAAGATCACTGCCTTACGGTCGTCAATATGCGAGCCGAGTTCGACACATGCGCGGAAAAACGCGCTGCATTAGTTGCTGATTCATTCGAAGTCAGAGCCAAGACTAAAACAATGAGTAACATTCAAAATAGACGGAACTGTAGTCACAACTTACTTGAACCAAATCGGAAGAAATCAGTTCACTGAAATGCTGTGGAGTTAAACGCCTTAGCAAACCTGGTGCTCGAACCAATGCAGTGAAGTGTTCGCGTAGATACTGCACCGCTCTACGACAAGGGTATCGCGTGGATGCTCCTTCTCCACTTAACAACCACTGATCACTGTCAGTGGTCTGAATGCATTGAGACAGGAATTTCTGTTGTTCTAGACAATCATCGGTACCTCGGTATGATGGAGAGCTGCACTCGGTCGGTAGTTGGTCTCCATCATGAACAGGAGTCTCACCACCTGAAAGTATGGGGGAGGATCTGCTGTCGTTTACGTTGGTCCAATGAAGCAGCCCGACAGCAAAGATGATGGGTGTCATTTTTGGCGACTGATGATTGTGTGAATGGCTGGGTTGAGCACCTGCAGTAGCAGTCGCATGCACTGGAAGTTCCATCGACCGAATCACTAAATCTTCACAAGCTATGGGAAGAGCAGCAACAATGCAAATGCAAATGTGAAGCCTATATGACCGGGTATATGTTGACTAGCTCAAACTGATAAATTAAAGACGACAGAATTACTCTGAAACACCTGCCGAAATCGTTGGTAAGCATTCTAACATGAATTATCCAGAGTCTTGCAAGAAACGTCCGGTTGAACCATTTTGCCTTGCGAGGATTGAAGCGCAACTTGTTAGTGCTTTACAATTTGCAACAACAAAAACCGAATCCGATCTGCCTGTACTTGAAATGCAACCTAGCTCGATTCGAGAGGTGTGCAATACAAATTATACACTGATTATACCAAAGGCATGCATTCGAATTTCTACTGGGTCAGATATATCTAGCTGTGGAATAAACTGCCAAGCACACATATCATGCAAAATGCGGAAACATCTAGTTAAAAGTTCGTAAGTTACCTTGACCTCAATACGATAATGGCACGGTTAAGAATGTCCACATCGCTATCCTAGAGCATGTGATTACTACTAACTATCAGACTCGGACAGAAGACGGATTCAAGGTGATTTACACTGTGTCAAGAAGCGTGCCCAAAGGACTCAGGAAACGCCTGCTGGCCATAGCCGAAGCAATGGCGATTAGGCTATTACAACCTGAGTTACGCAAGCAAAGGATGCTAATACAAACTCTCAGTTTGCCCTGGCCGTGAGCAAGATTCTGTCCATATCTGACAGAACTCCGGGCCCAAGTGTGAGTTCGGTTCTTCATCAGCCACTGCATTCTTGCTTTCGCTGCTTGTCTATACGTATCCGCGAGACGCGGTGTCGTAACTTCTACCACCTGACTTCACTGAGATAACTATCGATTGGCTTCATTGACCCTATTTAAGGTGCCATCTAACCGCTACCACTCGAGCTCTAGTTAGCTTCCCGTTTGCTAAATCTTCATTATAAATGTAAATGCCTGACGAGAATTATCGAAAAGAGATATATCTTCGCAAGTCACCTTCTTATATCTAAAAAGGGCATAATACACGAGATAATCACTGTGCTTGCATGGAAAAATCATTTGACAAACTATCCAAGAGGAATCCAAAAAGGTCTAAGTACCCACGTTTCCAAACCTTGGGTTTCATGTCGACCATCCATACTAAATCACTGTTATACAAATCTCATGGTTCAATATCGTAGATATGTTTACCACTAAAACAGGAGTGTGGTCACTCTTGTGCATATTGATCTGTGCCGCTACGGGCGAAATAGCCGGTCCCTGTCCGAACACATTTCGAACAGTGCCCAATTGTTCAACACAAACGACAGTGCAGTGTAAATCATAAGATACGAGCTGGAAACATGTGAAAGATGAACGCCTGGAGTGTAAAGGGTTACAAGTACATTCAGCCCGGGTGTACAACAGGACACATCGACTGTAACAGCGCTGATGCAAACATACTCACCTTCGGAAAATCTGGGAAATTCCAACAATTGTCCCACTGAATGCAATTCTAAAACGTGTATCAAACAGAATGGGCATTGAAAATAAAACCTAATTCCACGCTTGTGTTCGTGTAGGGGAATAACGCGTGTCCCGGAAACCGGCTGGGCCAAATTGGCTAAGTCTTGAACAGGATGCTCCGCAATCTGGCTACAGTAAGGCTGCACGCTTTTGTCATGGCCATGGTGATCTTGGTGCCATTGCATATGCGCGGATTGATGTGTGGATTCCGGACACTCGATGGAAAACGCCCCCGGCTCCTCGACGTGCTGTTGTTTTGGCAAGTACATGCAAGCCATTGCCTCTGTGTTCAACCAATCGGAATAAATAAAATGCAGTAAAATGGGTGCAAAATGTGGTTTCAGTACAGATCCATCCAGCACAATTGTTGTTACAAAACCGGGTGATGGGGGAAAGTGGCGTCGCAGCAGAATGCGACGTAGGAATTGGGAGCGTGCGGCCAGGAGACCGGCATGACAAGGGAATTGCCAAAAGTGGACGGAAGCTGAGCTTCCACAAGAGAAAATAAGTCGACAATCAGGAGAGAACGGGCTAGTTTGTTTGCTGGTCCTGTCCAATTCATAATAAACAGCTAACAAATTTGTAGATTGGTTTGATACCTCTTGAGTTGAAAGACACAACAAATCTGGCTTTTGCCTGTCCGAAGTGAGTGTGCGCCATGATTGTGAGGATTCGTCAGTCAGTGTGTTGGCCCCAGAGTACAAGGCTAGCAAGCGATTACTCAGCGTCTTCGCCGGTGACCTAAACTTTGACTTCGAAGGGGGAGTTTGGTTACTACGTAGATTGGGTTCAGTCTCAGGGGTGGACGGGGCCGATTTCACCCAACAGCTTCCTCTTACCAAGAATCCCGTTTAGGGTGCCAATAAGCAAAAAGGTGCCCCAGCGTTGTGACATGATAGAATGTTCTTGATCCTGTAATGGTGAAAAACAAATACAAGTGCAGGACGGTTAACTTACTTTCATGAACTAATGCGCTTAGGTGTAGTCACTGAGGCGCACGGACATTCGGGAAACAGAGCTAGCCAAGGATTGTCTGGGCTACGTTTAACTTCCTCAACAATCTCGCATGCTATTAGAGCAGAAAGAAGTTTAGTCCAAACAAGCGCAACCCGGTTAGCGTAGAATCCTGCTCTTAACTCTAGTCTAGATCTTTGCCGCTTAATTTCATGCAATGGACTCTCGTTGTCTGATCTAGCTGGTTCATACAGGTCGGTTGGTCAGAGACAACGGGGGTGCGTATTGGATTTGGACGTCTCTGTCACGTCCCCTCGCAATCTGCGTCTTCACATTGCAAGCAAACCTAAGTTAGCTTACCGATCTTCATACAATAACTCTCGCAGGCCTTCTATCATTCGAGTGGCCAGTCCTTGCACATCCTCAATACCATTAATATGTATCTGTAGTTGGGGTGCCCAGGCCTGAACACAGTATCCCAGATGTGATCTGACCACAGCTTTGAACAAGGGGTGGAAGACCTCTGGTTTGGTGCAACTCATTACTCTCCTGAGACGGACTAATTCTTGTCGAGCATTATTAGCCGCATACTTGCAACGCGCTAAGGGCTTAAAGGCACACATCGCGGGTGCACCTAGCCCATGTGCCTCGGTGATATCTTGCAGTGTTAGGGACCCATTAGTTATAGGCACAGTAAACCCTTTAGCACGCAGGTTAGGATTTGACATTTGCTGATGCTCAGCATAAATATGAGCAAGTAAAAACGGTAGCAAAACCTCTAGACAACGTAGCCATGTCTCCCCCGCTGACAAGCTTCAAGTCGATAGCAAACATATAGGAGGGGTCTGCACGTAGAGGGACCAAGTCATTTATTAACATTGGAAATAGCAACGGACCGAGTACCGGTTCCTGTAGAACTCCAATGTGAGCAGTGCCTGCCATCGAAATAACGTCACCAAGCCTGATAACTGTTGAAGATAGGAATATCCAGCGGTGTAGTTTTCTCCGATGTAGTATGAATCTTGGTGATAATTTTAAATAGCACATAGAAGGTGGCGTGCAAGGGAGAATAACCATATACGTAATGTAAGTGGTCACATGACATGAATTTATTGAAGCCAACTATGTACTGCTGAATAGAAACTGGTTTTCTCAGGGGGATATTACGCGAATTGTACGCGGAATGGCAACCGTGAGAAAACGATGCAACTGATACTAATTGGCCAAGTTTGTAGGCTTCAGCGAAATGTCAGTGGCATATGCCAATAAAGAACCTGTAAGCAATTCATCAGTCAAGCGGATGGAAAGTTTTCAGTGCACTATTATTGCGTTGCAAACATGTATACCTTCTGCTGACAATCACTATGCGTTAATCACGGATGTCGGAATAAACTGCACGGCTAAGTTTGGCGAATTGGTGTAATCCGAAGACTAAGGTGCATGCGGAACTGGTAATGCGCATTGCCGGCGGGCGTAAACGCTGGAGGTGCAAAGGTGGTACCACCTTGTTTGCTATGCAGATAACTGTTAACGAGGCGTATGATCTCATGCTTTGCATCGTATAACAGAAAGCGGTGATGGAGATACACGTATTCCAAGAGGCAATAAATGCACGTGTCAATGAAATAAACATGAGGGTCCTGTACTGCAAATGAAGTCCAGTTGCACATACCTGATCATACCTCCATGGGCGTGTCTCCCATAGTCGAGAATAAAATATTATTTATTTATTAAGCATACAAATAAGTCCGGGGAACTAAGTCAACAGCACCACTATTGTAACGGTACCCTGCTAAATGGAAGTCATGGAAAGGTGCGGCCTCGGATGCAAACGGAAGGAAAGAAGTAAGTGTTAGTAAGGGGAACACGACGAAAATGGAACAGAACTTGTCACGTGGATCGTTGATCAAACGCCATCATAGTGCTCACGCGTAACTGGCGGACGAATGGATTGCGTCGCGTCAACCCAGCGGATCAGTGAGTTATGGGGCATTTTTGCATTTGTAAGCAATAGGTGCAGGGGAACAGTGATACGGAGGACAGGTGATGTGTTAACTATGTAATGGATAGGGAGCATAATTGCTTGTTACAAGGTTGTGTAAGAAACTTCAAACGCGTCCCACCCCGAAACGGTAACTTGCTTGTGGTAGGCTATAGATCGGAAGAAGTACATTTGTGGTTTTGTTATAGCAAGAGGTGGTGACAAAACGTGCATGCAATGTGGCAAGTGATAAAATACGGATGGGCGTCTTCACCAATTTTAATGTCCGCGTCATGGTAGTGAGCGAGTATACGTACGCACTCAACTCTCAATGCCTGAACACCAAAATATGTTTGGCACTTAAAATAACCGTTTTCACGTTCCCCAGCTAGGTGCTGTGCTTGCGTTTATTGGTCTGCTATAATGGAACCTAATTGAAAAGGTAGGTATGGTGGTGGTGGACTGTTTAAGTGAATGTTTCGATATACATGCGTGCACACCTGCAGCAAGTTGCAGGTGCACTCAGGGCGGCACATCGGGCACGGCGTACTGCAAGCAAGGAGGGCTGACTGACGCTGCCCACAGGCACGATGGAGGCATAAGGGCGCGGCGGACAAGTGGCACATGCGGTAAGCAGGCGGACAGAGGGTTCGGGCTATGGAAGTAAAGGAAAATAAACGGATAACTCAAAAGATAAATAGGTATGTTTTTAGATTAGCTAGATGCTGCGCTCGAAAGAAGGCAGACCATTATTTACATTAATCTTATGCACTTGTATGGGAGTAGGAAAAGTGTAATTATACGTTCCTTGTTGCCAATTACAACTGCGTTGGTTTTGTTAGGTTTACAACTGCTGGGGTTGTACGCGGCTACCTTGAAATTCTTCTAACTCTTTCTGGCTATATTGAGCTCCTTGAATTTCTTTGTTGTGAAAGTAGCGCCGAGCCCTAGTTTTGCATGTTTTCTTTGGGAACAGGATCTAAGTAACCACAACTTCACTAAAAAGTTTTGTATTATTCTGACCCGCTCATTTGTCATATTTCTTGGTGCGCACTTGGAAAGCAATATTAGCGGCGGAATTATAAGGAACATGAAAATAGTTTCTAGAAATGGAAATAAAAATGGAACGCCTTTATTAAGGGGGCGTGCTTCACTAGAAAAATATAACTTAATAACAGCGACGCACACTCACATAAAGTAACTGGCGTGTGAAACAATAACTGGGTGTCATGCCGAGCGGACGTTGCTTACCTGCCACCTGGAGACGAGGTGAGGTGAACGAGTGGCAAACGGTGGGTGCATGCTATGAAGGAAAATGTAAGACAACAGCGATGCACACTTACCTCAAGCGTTTGGCGGTTGTAACTCCAACGTGGTTTCAAGCTGGGCTGACGTTCACAGGCACGACAGATGCACCAGGGCAAGGCGGACAAGAGATGCATACGGCAAACAGGTGGGAGGAGGACGGATTACGTGAGAATCAGTGATTGACGAAATCGAGCAATCGAAGTATAATGGAAAGCGATAATAATGGGTAACGGCGTTCCAACCATTCACGAATATTCCCGACCTCGCGGGTGAGTGCGTAACTCGCCAATACCCCACGATGCGTGAACGCTGTGAAGTGGTTTGAGCCCCTTACAAAGAGGAGTATCAGTTCACCGAGACAGGGTTGCCATCTGCATACGTGTTCCTGATGTGATGTTCCGAATTTGTCGAAGTGAAAAAGAAAATACCACCCGAGGCTCTATGTTGGGCTATGCTAGGTGTCACTTGGAAAGCATTGACGGAGCGAAGCATCTATGCAGGTTGACTACAAGCTGCATTATTGGAGGCTTTGTATTTACCGGAGATGAATACGACGCCATAATCAATGTGTAAGGGAACTGAAGTGAATGTGGTACTGCTAAACCAATGATTAGGGTGTAGCAGGTGAAATAGATGTGGGAAGCCATGGAAATAGTGGGGGTCAACTTACCGGTGAAGGGTACAAAGTAATCCATGTTTCACACTAGCTTGAAGCGGTATGGCACAGTAAAATCATGGATCGGAAAGGAACGTGTTTAGTCACATGTAAGATGGGGCACTTACCCTGTGTGAATCTGACACGAAAAATAATGGCTCATGATTAATGGAGGCGCTATGGCACTGCCAAAGAATGAATCAGGGCGGCAGGTGTCTACCGATGGTCTAAAAGCCACAGGACTGCATGTTGTGCATGGAGAAGAATTGACGCAGACAAAATGTCCAATATTTCATTGTACGTGGATGCCATTTGGCCTTGAACTTTCACAGTGCGCAATGGCACATGTGCACTAACTGCCTGAAAACCACGTTTCTAGATGTTATTCACTTAACGTAGTCGAAACACGCGACTAAGTGTAAACTACATGGAGTTCGGTGTTTGCGTGATCCGGAAACAACATCTTTCAATGCGCCGCGTGTCTACTACTGCATCTGCGGACAGCGACCTGTGCTTTCTGTTCTCTTGAGACAGGTACGTTTTTTGCAAACGTTTGTGTCATTCGTTTGACCATACCGATTATTTCGGTCTCGCCCAATCCGCCCATGCGACCGGTGAACACCTGCTCGATTGGCACTCAGCGTGTAGGGCCCCGTTTCAGGGCCATCACATGCTCGAGCTGTCTTCACCGTGTTCACGCTCTTCGTTACAATCCGCTCCGTGCAACTGACATCGAATTCTGTCGCTTTCATCCACCGACTTTCCTGCGGTACATTTGCTCGCTTTGCGTTCCCGTCCTTGCGAATTACGGGCGGGATATTCCTAGCGACCTTCCCTCCATAACTTGTCCTATGTTTGGTTCTGTAATCTCGTCTCCTATTAACTATCCCTCCACACCGCGTAACCATCAGTCGCAGATGCGGTCGCCC